GTAGTGATACTGCCTCGGAAACCCAAGGAGGGGTCGCTATGAGTCGGGGCCGACTCGACGGCAAATAACAATATATACTAAATATCATTGATGTGTAAAGAAAAGTAAAACAAATAAATAAATCAACACCAAAAAATAACTTACAATGAGAGTTGGAAGAACATGAGAATACGCACAATTCTGTGGATTTGAAAATTGCTTTTCAGTTTTATTTTCCCCATTTCTGAGCAAGATTCACAGGATGGGTCAGATAACACTAATTTGAAAGTCACCCTGGAGATTCTTCTCCCAAAACAAGATTTACATGTCTAATCTGGCAATTCCAGACGATGATAAGCGTTGTCATTGAGCTAAATTCCAGTTATATTGCCATGGAATTAAGTGAGGGCTACTTCTGGGCTTGAAAGATAAATACTGTGAAAGTTTGTATTTTTATAATCTTTGTTTTTAAACATGACATGAGAGCCAAAGAGACGATGTCAGAAGTACCAGTACTCCAAATTGATATTTCACACTGTCTTCCAAAGCATGGAATACACTGCGGGATGTTCCAGAAACCTCTGTCTACATTTCCTTTTAAAATAAGAGCAGTGATTGACACGAGCTGTAACATGATTAAAACCGAGCTCTCAGCAACATTGTAGTCTATCACCGCCATCTAGCCCTAGGTACCTTACAGGAATACTAACATCCTTCAGGGTTCTGATAAGTATAGATAAACTTTCTTTCATCACTCCCAAGGGAACTATGTATTTGAGGACTCACAAAAGTCACAAATGAACCATTTAAGTGAGCCTTTCCACTGGGAATAGAAATTTCATTTATTACCATTATTATGTAATTTCTTTAGGACAGTCATTTATTACCCGAGATTTTATTTTGTTGCATTTTCATACAAATAGATGTTCCAAAATAAAGCAATTACTCCACAATGCCTTGGGGCTTGTGATAGAAAAGGATTTTTTTTTTTTTTTAAATACTGAAGGCTTAAAAGAAATGGATTGACACGGTGGCTGCGATGATGGGCTCAAGCATAGCAGGGATTGTGGGGCTGGCCCGGGATCGGGCAGTGTTTCGTTCTGCTGTGCATGGGGTCGCTATTAGTCGGAAACGACTCGACGGCACTTAACAACAACAACAACAACAAAAGAAATGAGAGGTTCAAGTCAGTCTCTGATTGTCTTCTTTGCCCTAAGGCAGGACACATGAACAACGGCATTTTCATATCTTTATTTCAACCAGAAATCTTAAGGTATTTCAACAGTTTAATAAAGGTGAACAGCTTTCTGTTTTTGTTCCTCTTATGAGAACTCTAGTTTTTTGACTTACAAGTAGACTATGCAATGGGTTAGGCTTCAGAGACTAAACAAATTCAACTGACCATCTCATTTTCCTATCTCTGGGCTGATGTTTCTTCATTTGTGAAGTGGGCGTGATAAAAAAAAAAAAGTCCCTCCTCTACTGCTTTAAATGGAAAGGAATAGGAAGCCAAATGAGAATTAAGGTATTGATGTATATGTTGTTGTTGTTATGTGCCGTTGAGTCAGACCCCACTCACAGTGGCCCCTCCTTGGGCTTCCGAGACAGTATCACTATGGAAGTAGATTGCCCAACCTTCCCTCCGAGGAGTGGCTGGTGGGTTTGAACCACCAGACTTCTGGTTAGCAGTCACGTGCCTTAGGTACTATGCTACCAGAGCTCCTATATATACATAACATTTTTTTTTTTTTTTAAATGTGATTTGGGTGAAAATTTACAGAGCAAATACACTTTCCATACAGCAGTTCACATACACTGTCTCACGACATTGAACACAACTTACCACAATGCAACATCTCCCCTCCTACTTCCTCCCGATAGTTACCTTTTCCCTGTGTCCATCCCTCCATGCACTCCTGCCCCCTGAGCTGTCTCCCTGTGCATAAGCAGCCCTTCTTTCTCCCATGCTTGCTCTCTGCAAGGAGTGTATCTACCTCAGGTAAATGTCCAACTTATGTGCCTGTCTTTTTATAGATAAAAATTTTTCAGAAGGAAGTTTTATAAAATCATTTTCTTTTCTAAAAAGTAAAATATTTTAAGCAGTGCTTTTGAAGAAAAAGATCTAAATTAAAATTCATTCAACTATTGCCCCATAAGGTTTTTAAACCTGCAATCTTTACACAAACAGACTGCCCCATCTTTTCTCCCGTTGAGCAGCTGGTGGGTTCAAATTGCCGACCTTTTGGTTAGCAGCCGAGTCCTTAACTACTGTACCTGCCAGCAGAACTCCCTAACCTAACAGTGTTGTTGTTGTTGTTATGTGCCGTCGAGTCATACCCCACTCACAGTGGCCCCTCCTTGGGTTTCCGAGGCAGTATCACTAAGGAAGTAGATTGCCCAACCTTCCCTCCGAGGAGTGGCTGGTGGGTTTGAACCACCAGCCTCTGGTTAGCAGTCAAGTGCCTTAGGCACCACGCTGCCAGAGCTCCTAACAGTACC